AAACACTATCTACAGATTTGCATCGAAGCGTTTCTTATGATAGTGATTTTAATCACTGTCAGATATCATCTATACTTGTCCCATCTATGCCTCGTCCACACTGTGCCTCGACCCCACTGTGCTACCGTTTTTTTCAATTGACATGATTAAATAAATATTATGAATGCCATGGATTTTAATTATGTTTTTACATTATAGGCATTTAATTTTGAGAAATAAAATGTTAAATTATCACAATTTAAAAAAAAAAAATACTTATGTGTAATAAAAACAAAATAAAAGTATGCTTCCTAAGTAAAGTTATTTTTTTTGTTTAAATTATAAAATAATGTATTTTTTAAATATATAATAGAAATTTCATCGTACTCCATGATTGATGACTCAGACAAAGATAAAGATTATGTATTATCTGGTGAAAATAAGAGCAACTTGGAAAATTTCGGTATAGAAATTGATATGGACTCAATAGATGAACTTCATTCAGATAATGATAAAAATGTTGTATTTTTGATTGACTATTTATGTGAAACAGGTGGCAATTATAACTTGGGTTTTTATTGTTATCATTGAGAAAATAATATTTAATAATTTTTATTTACTATTTAGTTTGCCAAGAAAATATAAGTATTGAAAATCTATCAATTCAAAAAGAAACTTCACGTTAACCATTACCAATAATTATAACCAATAGTGAAACAGAATATTCACTTGATCAATACACTAAGTGTGAGAAGCAAAGGAAACATAAAAAATCCAAACATAATGTCATAGACAGGAAGGATAACAAATAAAGAAAAACTGCTCAAAAGCATAAAGTTCTTAAACCTTGCAATGTAAATACTTGTAAAGAAAATGTGTTACTAATATATGCTATGATCGACGTTGTGAAATCAATAGTCAGTATTGGAATATGGATGCTGATCAAAGAAAACATTTTATATTGAGTGTATGCAATCCGAAAGAAGTAAAACGAAGATCAGTTTTAGCAAATAGTGACAGAAAAAGTAAAACATATATTTATCACTTAACTGATGAAAATTCTAAAAGTTTTCAAGTATGTAAATTGTTTTTTTTAACAACTTTAGGATTTAAAAAAAATAATGATAAGGTAGTGAAAGAAATTGTATGTATTAAAGTTGAAAAAGAAAAATTTATATTAACAATTCAAAACCAAACACACTGATACAGAATATGAAGAATTAGATTTTCTATGTAAGAAAAATATGAAAAAAAATGAAATTCCTATTGCCTTACCTAAAGCAAAGCCATATGGTAATCCAAAAAAAAAAGTTGATAGTATATTACAAAACTTATCTCAAATCCTTCCAGAAAATCGTAAAAAATTTTGGAAAAATCTTCATTATACATATACTAATTGTAAAAATATAAATTTTGTTTTCTGTTAATTAACATTATTATATAACTGTTATTATATTTTAAATAAAAGTCTGTTATGTAATAATTAAACCAACTTTAATTATTAAAGTTGGTTGAGAAAAAAAAATGTATTACTACTAACCAAAAAGTATGTACATTAGGGTGGCGCAAAAAAAATCGACTTTAAAAATTTTTATCAGACAGCCCCTAGATTTATTAAGTATATAAAAAAAAACAAGTTTTGAAAATTTGAGATCGATAAAAAAAATNAAAAAAAAACAAGTTTTGAAAATTTGAGATCGATAAAAAAAATTTTACAGGTCGCTCAAAGCGTTTTTCGTATTTTTACCAAAAATACACCTTATTTATTAAAATTCTAAATTTTGGTCAATTATAATCATCAGTGTTGAGAAGGAACTGGTTCCAAAAGGAACGGATTTCTGGAACGAGTTCTTTTTGAAGGAACGATCCTAGGAACTGCTTCCTTTTAAAATAAAGGAACGAGGAAAATGAACAAATTCCATTTTTTAAGGAACGTGAACGGAAATTACAGTTCCTAAAAATTTTTATAAACATGTTTTAGTGTAGTTTTCTTCGTATCTAGACATTAAAATAGTAAGGTATTTTTAGTTGATTTTTGACAATGGAAGTCCCCTATATACCCAGCCGAGATCGTAGGCTGTTTAAATGAATCAATTGACTATA